AATTAATGACAATATATTGATAAATCTGATGATAACGCTATAGTTTGCAACACTTGAACACTGCGACCATTGGCGGCAATGTTGGAGAGGATGAGGAGGACAGTGATGGAGGGTTTAGACAATACGTTAGGCCCTATCCAGCACTCGATCAACACAAATATAACCATTTCACGAGTAGTGCCGGCGCCGCCACTGCAACCACCACTCCCTCGCAACCCCTACCGCCAGACTATAGCGGATCCAAAGTAAGGTTACATCAATCATACAGTTCTGGTTCGCAGGACATCAATAAATCCTCGATATCCAGGTCATCGATATATGCATCGCAAGTAAAGTATAGTTTTATTTTGTGTTTGTTTTTAAATAAATTGAATTGTTTTGACAATAAATCTCTCTCTCTCTCTCTCTCTCTCCCACTCTATCACAATGACTGATAGGAAACGGCGTACAACTCGTCCGCCACCTCTCACAGCGCCGACGAATTGATGGACTATAACAGTGGGGGTCCGTATCGACCGCAGCAACCGATGTGGAGTTCCCAGAGTAGGTCCACCGCCATCAGGATAGGTGACCCCGGATACGATATATCATCCAAAAAGCACGTGTCGTTTGACTCCGGGGACACCAATAGAGTGAGAAGAAGTGTTACCTGCGCTGCCATTCCCAGACAGTCCGGCCGTAATGCGAGTCCGCCATAAGTTTGCGAAGAATGTGTCACTAAATGAGTCCAATATAGACATACTTATCAATAACGCTGGGGTCGGGATGTGTCCCGAATGGCAGACCAAAGAGGGCTATGAAATGACATTTGGAACCAATCATCTTGGTAATATATTTATTTATTTTTGATTTCGATGAATATTTATCAATAATACAGTATTTAATAAATTATATAAATTATTTTAATTTTAGGTCACTTTCTACTGACTCTCTCACTGTTACCACTGTTGCAAAAGTCACCCAAAGCTAGGATTATAACCGTGTCGTCCAATACACACCGTTTGGCAAAAATTAATTTTGAAAACATAAACCTAAGGAATGGTGCTTATAGTGGTATATCAGCCTATGTTCAAAGCAAACTGGCCAATGTATTATTCACACGGGAATTGGCAAAACGATTGGGACCAAATAGTACTGTCCATACATATGTGTTGCATCCCGGTCCTATCAAAACCGATATGTCTCGCAATATGGCGAATAAATCACAAAAAGCCATTTACGATACAATGACTTCTATGCTGTACTTAAGACCAGAAATGGGATGTCAGACAACACTGTATTGCGCTCTCGAGGAAAGGTTGGACAATGAGTCCGGACTTTATTACAAGTAAGTCAAACATACTGTACTGTATTATTCAAATTGAATAATAAATATAAGAAAATTGTCTCAAATGTATTTAATTGTACTGAAAGGATGCAATAGTGTTACACAATATATTTGGTGTACATTTTGAATATACACGTATTTTCTAAACTAAATGTTAACTTTGTTTTGATAGTAACTGTCGTCAGGACCCGTTGTGGGCCAACGGAACCGATGATAAAAGTGCTGAAAGACTATGGAATCTAAGCTGCGATTGGGTTCAACTCGAAGATCACCTCAAGATTTAATATAAATTTTAATCTCTAATATTATATAACTTTTATATAAATTTACATCTACTATTTTATGAATTTATTTGATTTTGAATCTACTATTTAAATTTATTTCTACTTTTATATAAAATAAATGAAATCTTTATATAAAATTTTTTTTATTAAATTTAAAAATTGAATCACTTATGTATTAAAGTATTTATTTCTGTATTTTATAAATTAGAATATATTTACAAAAAATGCTTTAATAAATAATTTTCAACAAATACATTGCTGGTATTAAATTTAATCATATAATTGTTTTCAACAATTTTTGTATCATAACTATTAAACTATTGAACAAGACTTATTAAATGTTTTAAAATTTAATATTATTAAAAACCACATTTTTAATACAAATTAATTTAAAAAACAAATGTGTTATAATAACAATTAAAAATAAATTAACTTATGATGTTATTTTTAGGACTTATGCACTAAATTATATTCAGTTAGGAATCTAGTATTAATACTATTACAGTAATACTTGTATTATATAATAAACATAGAATACTGTAGTCTTACTGGTAGTCATTCCAAGGCTTATCAGTTGTAAGTTCAGTACATTTAGTGCACTGCAGTTGAGTTAATATAAATGCTGAACATTACTTTAGTTAACGTGCATTTGTGTGAAGTGAAGTATATATTAATACTGTATTCATAAATATAATAATGAGTAAAATAAGTTTAATGATCGGCGGGGTTACGGAGCTATTGTCCAGTGCTATCGGTTGGAGGAATAAATGTGAGAGCACTCGAAGACTTGATGGTCAGGTTGTGGTGATAACCGGTGCCAACACTGGTATCGGTAAAGAGACTGCACTTCACCTCTCATTACGAGGCGCTAAGGTATGAGTGAATCCATTGAAATCGAGGCACTAAAGTATGGGTTATTTTTTGTTGCCTTTAATATTAAAGAGAATTAATAAAATTATATTTTTAATTTGAATATTAATTGTTTAAAAATAATTTGATAAGATTATCATCGCATGTCGTGATGTGGACAAAGGCAAAGAAGCCATAACCGAAATACTCGTCAAGAATCCAAACGCAAACTTAAATGTATTAAAACTGGATTTGTCTTCATTGGCATCGGTTCGCGAGTTTGCGAAGAATGTGTCACTAAATGAGTCCAATATAGACATACTTATCAATAACGCCGGACTTGGGATGTGTCCCGAATGGCAGACCAAAGAGGGCTACGAAATGGTATTTGGAACCAATCACTTGGGTATTTCATTATTGCTTGTTAAAATGAGTCCAATATAGACATACTTATCAATAACGCCGGACTTGGGATGTGTCCCGAATGGCAGACCAAAGAGGGCTACGAAATGGTATTTGGAACCAATCACTTGGGTATTTCATTATTGCTTGTTACAATAACTTTTCATTATTTATAATTTAAATTTTACCTGATTTTGTTATTTTTTAATTTCAGGTCATTTTCTACTGACTCTCTTATTACTACCGCTGTTACGAAAGTCACCCAAAGCTAGGGTTATAAACGTCTCATCCGTTGCATACAAAATGGGAAAAATTGATTTTGAAAATATAAACCTAAGGAATGGTGTCTATAATGGTATAACCGCTTACTCTCAGAGTAAACTGGCAAATATATTGTTTTCACGGGAACTGTCGAAACGGTTGGGTCCTAATAGTCCAGTGACCACATATTCGTTACATCCCGGTCCTGTCAAAACCAATAGGTCTCGCTATATGGAGAATAAATCGCTGAAAGCTTTTTACGATACAATGACTACATTATTGTATTTAAGACCAGAAATGGGATGTCAGACAACACTGTATTGCGCTCTCGAGGAAAGTCTCGACAGAGAGACCGGTCTTTATTACAAGTAATATAATTTTAGTATTTTTGTAAATTTTTAAGTAATGTTTAATTGTTGTGACAGTAATTGTCGTGAGGAGAAGCTGTGGGCTAACGGATCCGATGATAAAAGTGCTGAAAGGCTATGGAATCTGAGCTGCGATTTGGTTCATCTCGAAGATCATCTCAAGATTTAATATCAATCTTAAGCTTAAAATAAAACTAAGTTTTATTAATTTATAAATACATTACTAATATAATATCTCCAACAATATATTTAATTTTATAATTGAATTGATAATTTATTAAAATATCGATACTTAAACTTTTAATTTTGCAAATTTTGTAATACAAATACAGTATTCAAAAGAAATTCTTTGTTTGTAGTTATATTTAAATAATTGCTAACAATTATTTCTAGTTATTTAATTATACTGTAATTGTTTACATAGGAGTGTCATTATACTGTTGTCCCCCATCTATGAACAGATTAGTGCCGGTTATGAACTGCGCTTCACTGGAGGCCAGGAATACTACCCCTTTGGCCACATCTAACGGCTCCCCAATTCTCTTGAGGGGTGTGTGCTCTCGGACTTGTCTCATGAGTTCTTTCAACTGATCCGGAGTCAAGTCACTGTGAAATGCGCTCTCAATAAAACCAGGACTACATTGAATTTAAAGTTACTTTAATTAATAAACTATACTGGTACATTTAACGTACATTTAATATATTGTACTTACTTGACAGCATTGACTCGAATTTTTGGTCCTAATTCTAGGGCTAATACTTTGATAACCGTATCGACACCTGCTTTAGAAACATCGTAAGCTAATAGTGAAGCATGCTGCAATATATATTTATTTTGTAGTTATTTTTTACTTGATAAAATATTCGTTTGTATGTTTTACCGGTCGATGCGAAAGCATACTTGAGGTGCAAATTATGGTTCCGTTAGTCCTCTCCAAGTAAGGGACAGCCAATTGGCTTAACTCGACATAAGCCCTCAGATTAAGGCCTATGGTTTGATCGAAAACTTTCATAAAGTCCTTATCCTTAACGGTCGCATATCTTAAAATTCCCGCGTTATTCACCAATACATCTAACTTTCCGTACTTTGCAATCGTTTCGTTCAACAATTTGTTTAATTCATCCGTTTTGGTCACATCTGCCGACACTTCCAATGGCTAAATGTATTCATGATTTATTAGACAGTGTTATCAAATGTATGAATTAATTACAAACCCTCTGTTGATGAGGTGATAATTTTTGGACTTCATCGGCCACTTCTTGTATTTGTGTGGCATTTATACCGGTAATCACCACATCGGCCCCTAATATGGCAAACAGTTTAGTGATTGCGGCGTCGATACCGGAACTGGATCCTGTGGTCAGCACTACTTTGCCCGTAAAGTTAAGTGAGTTCTGCACTCGTCTGTAGTCATCGATTGGGAAATCGTTGAAACCATTCGCGCTTACGATCGATACGACTGCCAATAAATAAGACAAATACAATGAATTCATTTTTCAGTTATTATAAGTATTTTTTATTGATTCTTATAATTTTTGAATTGTTATTCAATTTGTATTAAAATGTATCTAAAATTTTTTGTTTTTATACCCAGACGATTTCATTAAAAATGTCAAATTACTCCCATTTTGGTAAATAAGAACAAGCATTATTTATCAATGTACTAATTATCACAAATTTAAACCATGATAAATATTGTACTTTTAGAACAATTTATTAATTTATTAATTAGCCTTAGTATTCTGTAAGCTTATTTATATGATATAATAGTGCATTATTGAAATACTAGATATATAGTACCTCAAGATACATAGTACATTTGTTATGTACTAAACACTGTATTTAAGATATTGTTGAATAAAGTTGAGATAAGACTTTATCCAGATTTTGCTACTAAATTAGAACAAGCATCCTGAACATTAATATAATTTATAAACAAAATGCTTTAATTCTATTCTGATAAAAACAATTAACAAGGCCAAATTATGGTATATTACAAAAAAGTATGAATTATCTTTAAAATAATAGTTTATGGCAAATTAATACAATATAAATTTATAATTATCTTGAATAGTTAAATTTGTTAGTTTATTATATTAATTGAGTTTAGTATTCTAGTGCTAAACAATTTAATAGTTATAATTTTAATGTTTAAAAAATTTAATATTATTCAAGTATTAGTTGTCATTTAAAATATTCTTTTAATTACATTATAAGAAATATAATAAAATTAAGAAATCTTATGCTTAATAGTACAGTATTTGTAGTCCTATTATGGATGAGACATTAATCCGCCATCAATGAAGAGATTAGCGCCGGTAATAAAGTTGGCCTCATCTGAGGCCAGGAATGCCACCCCATTCGCTATATCTAAGGGTTCTCCTAGTCTTTTAAGAGGTGTTGTGTCCATGATTTTCTTGACCACTCCTTTCAGTACATTTGGATCGACGTCGCGGTTGAGATTGGATTTTGTGAAACCCGGACTATAATAGTAGAAAATATTTTGATAACTAATCCATTGATAAATAAATGAATAAAACAATGAATTACTTGATTGAATTGACTCTAATTCTTGGCCCCAATTCCAGTGCCAATACTTTGGTCATGATATCCACACCCGCTTTGGATACTCCGTAAGCCATCATTAGTTGTGTCTTAAGTATAATAATTATTATTGTAAATAATTTGTAAATAATAATAATATTAAACAAAATGTTATACAATACCGGGCTCACTGATAATCTACTGGATGTACTAATAATAGTGCCGTTCGTTTCTTCGAGATAAGGAACTGCTAAATGACTTAAGCGGACATAAGCTCTCAAATTGACATCAATTGTCTGATCGAAAACATTCATATAATTTGCGTTATCCTTGACGTGAGACAACTTGAAGATCCCGGCGTTGTTCACCAATACATCCAATTTGCCAAATGTTGTGATCGTTTTATTCAGAAGTCTCTCCAAGTCGTCGCTTTTGGTCACATCTGCCACCACTTGTAATGGCTAACCAATGATTGTAATGTTATTATATAATATGAATAATTCATTCACAGACACACATTAGAGCTGGGTCAACTAATTAATAATATCAGTTATACTTTCATATAAATGAATGGAGAATAACACATGAATGAATTTTTATTTAAAACCTTTAACGCCTGTCTGTGAATGTATAAATCATATGATGATGTCAATTAAATCAAACCTTAAGTTTGTTGGGTGATAATTTTTGCACTTCCCTGGCCACTCGTTTAACTTCAGCGGCTTTCCTCCCGGTGACCACAACATTGGCACCCAATACAGAGAATAGTTTAACGATACCCTCCCCTATGCCGGAACTGGATCCGGTGACCAGTATTACTTTTCCCGTGAAATTGCTTGAATTCTTTGCCTGTTTGTAGTCATCATTGCTCACAGCATTTACTATATAAACAAATGTAAGACAATATATAAAATAAATTGAATTCATGTTTAATTTATAAGTAAATTTGAATTTACTATTGTATCAAATATGTGTTTAAAGTGTCCAAACAAAATTTGTCTTTATATAGGAATTTAACGCAAATTTTCTTAAAATAGTTGCAAATCAATGTTTTTTGAAGATTTTTTTCATGAGCTTTCTTTATATTCAGTGGTCGTATGCACTCTAATGGTCTTATTTTGCAATTATTTATAATATTCTTGTTCCTATTGTAAGTGGTGTCATGATTATCATTAGCAATCATTCATTACGAAAGCTCATCAATAGCTCATTCAAAATGTTTAAATTTAAATTTCATTCAAACAGAAAGATTTGAATAATAAGTTATGCTACAAGATTATGTTATTTTAGGACATTTGCACTAAAAGTTAAGGATTTAATCATTTCTAAACATTTCTATGAATATAATAATGTTGACTAACTTTGACCGTAAGAGCGCATGTTTAGGACTCATAAAACCAGTTATAATAAGACAATTAGTTGTTTCTATAGAAACTAATGGATAATAAATTTGAACAAACTGTTATTTAGCAAAACACTTTAACTCTTAAAATTGAATTCATTTTACAGTATAAGTAACTGCAATAGAGTTTTACTATTGTTGACTTTGTAATTTGAAGTTTGAAATTGAAACTTTGAATTAAATTAGGAATAATAATTAATTAATAGCATTCAACAAATGGTTAATTTAAGGTTTTTGGGCGGATATCTCAAAGAGTTGACACAAAATGTGTTTGGATTGAGGAGTAAATGCCAGAGTACTCGACGACTTGATGGTCAGGTTGTGGTGATAACCGGTGCCAACACTGGTATCGGCAAAGAGACTGCACTTCAACTGTCACTTCGAGGAGCAAAGGTATGACTTCTTTGTATTATTAATTAATTAATTATAAAAGTTTTGTTTATATTTTAGATAATCATCGGATGCCGTGATGTGAACAAAGCTAACGGTGCCGTCGATGAGATACGTGCGAAGAACCCAAACGCCAACTTAAATGT